CTGAAGCAGGTGAGGTGGATGGTCGAATGAAGCCCTTAGTTAATTACTCCTCGATATATGATTTCATGGCTTCAGACTCGGGTTGTGACAGGGGAAAAACTCGGCCTTTGGGGGGATGTGAACCAGATAGAAGGTTGATAGCACAGTCACTTGAACGATGGGGAGGTAGTTGTGACGCTTTAGCTTTGCTGAAAGCCTCGATTAAATCGTGGTACTCCATGGGGATTTTGGGTGCAGCGATGGGCTTATTCTCTGTCTCGTGGGGAGTCAGGTTCAGACAATGTTGGCGGCAGGATTCAGACCACTGAGTTATCTGTTTCTTGGACCAGGAAATACACGGGTTATGCTTCTCGAGCCAGGGCAGTCCCAGGATAATGGGCGTTTGAGGGGATTGAAAAACAAATAAACGGATAGTCGCAGTGTGGAGGGCTCCTGTGCGTAGTGATAAATCCTCTGTGATGAACTGAATCCAGCCAGAGCCCAAAGGACGCCCGTCTAATGCTGACACTGCCAAACGAGATTCACATGGAACAAGGGGAGTTTTATGAGTCTTGGAGAATTCAGAATCAATTAAATTTCCTGCTGCCCCAGAATCTATAAGAGCTGTAGTGTCAATAAGCTCCCCATTAACCCTTAAAGTAACTGGTATTTGTAATACAGTAACTAGACTGGAAGTCTGACTCACCGCAGAAGAGTTACGAGACGGTCGAGTGGGGCAGGAAGCTCTCATATGTCCAGAGAGACCGCAGTATAGACAGAGGTTCTGGCGAACACGTCTCTCTCTCTCCTCCACGCTGAGATGAGTATAGCCGATCTGCATCGCTTCAGTCTCATGTGGTAGAGGCGTCATAACCATAGGAGCCGAAGAGAGGTGAGGTTGTCGTCGAGAGCGGATGAGATTATCAATGCGAATCGCCAGATCAATGAATTGTTCCAGAGATTTACCCTCATCATGGCAGGCCAATTCAGACTGCAGGTCAGCATGGAGCCCCTTGCGGAAGAGGAGCTTGAGAGGATCATCCAACCACCCTGTCTGAGCAGCGAGCGTGCGGAAGGATAGTGCGTAGTCAGCCGCTGAACTTCTTCCTTGACGGAGAGATAATAACTGCTCGCCTATCTCCTTGCCACCCTCGGGGTGTTCGAACACCTCCCTGAAGTGTTGAATGAAACTGGTAAATGAGGGGAAAACGGTGCGGTCCTCACTCCACACTGCGGTGGCCCAATCCAGCGCCCTACCAGTTAGGAGCGAACAAACAAAGGCAATGCAACTACTGTCCGTGGGGTATAGCATTGGCTGTTGATTAACGAACATCGAGCATTGGAGCAGAAACCCCTTACACTTCGTGGGTGATCCATCAAACTTTTCTGGAAATGCCAAGCGAGGGCTGGTGGTGACGGCAGCAGTTGCCGGAGCGTGTGGAGGTGGGTTAAATGGGGGAGAGCTCTCCTCGGGTGGTGGTATCCGCAGAGCTCGCAGAGTCGTTACCAGCTCCTCTGTGAGTGAGGTAAGTTGGTTAAGCTGTTGTTGATGAGAAGCCAGTACTGACGCTTGAGCGGTTACTTCCGTGGTGAAGTGATAGAAAGCTGCTGGATCGACTTGAGGCGAAGTCTTCTGTAATGAGGATTCAGTGACGTTGGGATCCATGTGCAGCTTTATTAACAAGCAGACAGGCAAAGTTCAATCAACAGTATACAAGGGCAACGTAGGCAAGGCAGAATCATAACCTGAGTCAGGCAACAGGTAATCAAACAAGGTATAAACGCTCAGAAATGTCAGCAGTAGCAAAAACAAGACTTCCCAGCGAGGGTATGGTAGGCACTGATTAAATAGTCATGATAATGATAAGCACCTGTGCAGGTAATCAGTCTCAGGCATGGGGTGATGGGAAATGAAGTCCTTAAGAACAGTTAGTACTCCGGTGACGGTTCCCTCTGGTGGTGATCGGAGGGAGCCACAGAGGCTTGATTTCTGACATATATACTCATTATGAACCTTTTAGAAAAAATATCCATAAACATGAATACAGTTCAGTGTATTTAAAAGGGTCATCGGATGCAAAATTCACTTTACATGTTGTTTTAACATAAATGTGTGTTGGAAGTGTGTGTACACATCCATCCTATAATGATAAAATCCACCCAGTGTTTTTTTTAAATCCCTATTTTAAAATCCCCTTTCTCAAATCAGGCTGTTCTGAGATTCCTGTCAGTATGACGTAGTTCTGCACAGGGGTCATCGGATGCAAAATTCACTTTACAAGTTGTTTGAACATAAATGTGTGTTGGAAGTGTGTATACATCCATCTTATAATGATAAAAATCCACCCATTTTTTTTTTTTTTTTTAAATCCCTATTTTAAAATCCCCTTTCTCAAATCAGGCTGTTCTGAGATTCCTGTCAGTATGACGTAGTTCTGCACAGGCCCCTCCCACGATAGTTGATTGACAAGGCCGTTTTAACTTAGACCCGCCCTGAGTGAGCTGAGAGCTGTCCGCCATTGTGTCGACTCCGGTGCAGGGGAAGACAAGAATGTCTCCGATTGAGCAATTGAGGTGTTTTGTTGTTGGATGTAATAATGAACATAGCAGTCTGACATCTGAGCTGCTGAGGACGCAGAGGATTAACGTTACTTTCGTTTTTGAAGGGAATGTGCCGATCCCCGATCGTCCTAAATGTGTATATGTTCGCGTGAATCATTCGTGATCCAGCTTTACCTACAGAAGTATAAGGGATAAGGGTTTTTTATGAATCTTTGCAAATCGCCTTTCCTAATATGTGCTAGTTAGCAAGTTTCGCTGCTGAAGTTTACAGTCTGCTCATCACCCCACGGAAGAGAGGGGCGGGGTGAGCAGAGCTCATTAGCATTTAAAGCTACATGGACTAAAACAGCTTGCCGAAAACAGAGCTGATTTTGACAGGGTAAAAAGGGTGCTTTTTACACTACCATTGAGAAATTTTAACCAAAGTATGTTATAGACTTTTCATTAAGACCCTAAAGAATCATATCAACTTGTGGAAAATGGGCATCCGATGACCCCTTTAAGAGTTCATATTAAATTCATTCAGGTCAACAGTCAAATGTTCTTTCTCCGCTATGATATTGTCCACTATTTTTAACAGTGAATAGACATTTTACCCAAAGCTACAGATGGTCTGAAATAATACATCTTGCCTATAAATGTCTTGCCTTACCTCAAAAGTTATTTCACTTTGCGGTTTATGAATGATAAAAAATGATGTAACATTATACATCAGACTGAACTGGCTTGGATTGGAGAAAGAAAAGTAAAGAAGACCGTAAAGATGAGTCAGTCCACTAAATCATGAAAACGAGATGTCCAAGTGTGTCTTGTTAAGGTCAGTGCTCAGTGCAGTCATATAGGACTTGTCCTGGGTTAATATGGAAAGATGAGCAACACATTTGCACCCAAGAACTTGGTAGTTTGTAAAACAACATCCAGGTGTGCGAGAGATGACCTAAGTCTTTTATAAGACCCCAGGGTAGACTTAGGTGCTCAAGCTCACAGCATGACACAGATGTGTCTCAGTGGGGTTACCAGAAAACCTTCTACCCCAAGCCTGAACAACCCTCAGACATTTGGAAGTGTAAGAAGATGAACCTGTGTGTGCTCATGGGGCACACCTGCAGCCCACCCTGGAGCGATTTTTAAAAGGGACCCTTGGTGCATTAAAGGTGCACCAAATGCCAAAGAAGCTGAGAGTTGGGTCAAGATGACAGGTCAGGTCAGGCCTTTTACATCTATGTACTGAACAGGTGTAACATCAGGAAGGTCGTGAATTAAGAATGTGGGATTCTCCAATATATATATTTTTTTGGTCCCACATTATATAAAGTATTTTTAACCACTATGTACTTACAAAATACACTTTTTTTGTGTTATGCAAAATTTAAAATAAATAAATAAATAAAATATGCAGTTGCTGCTATTGAGGTAAAGTTAGGAGAAGGGTTAGGTTTATGCTTAGGGATTGGTCCACTGTGACTACATTACACATTCACACAAATTACATGCACTTAAAATGTAAGTATGTAACAACACGTTTTACACAATAAGTACATTGTTTCAAATGTATATTTTCACCCTGTAAAGCCTGACTTAAGAAAAATTTAATTTGAAACAGACGTTTATTGGATCTTTAGACAATCAATCAATAAATCCATATTATATTTGACACATCATGCTTTTATAGCTCATATATTATGATAAAGGAGAGGCCAAAACAGAGCAGAAAAAAGCCTCAAAATCCTGAAGTGTCATATCTGATACTCACTTTTTAACATAAATTAAAAAAAAAAGTCAAAAGTATATGCAAGTATCAGTATAATAATTTCTTAGATGTAAAACTTTTTAATGAGTATCAACACCAGCCAATCAAACAGTGCAAAACGATAACAACCATAATGCACAAACAAACAGAGTTGGCAGGAAACTACAATCATTATATCTCTTACCGTGAATATTTTTGTAGGTGTTTGCTCATTCTGACTTGACAGAACTTTTGCTTTTCTTCGGCTCAGTCTCAAGCTCTCTATTGACGGAGGCTTCACAAATACGACATAGGGTTTCAACTCAGAGGTGTATAAGGCTGTTATGGCCTGTTAGACAATGGAGAAAAAATTGTGAAAGAATGCCATACAGTGAGCAAAATGGCAACATATGGGAACCATCTTTTTTCCAAAATAATCTGTTCAGTCTAGTATGAATGTGTCCATATTGTAACTATTTAATTTCAAACCATTTTCTATGACATGAACACTAGACCATTTCCAAAATTCTACACAAGGCCTGCAGCATCAGACCATTTCCAAAATTCTACACAAGGCCTGCAGCATCAGCCATGCATAAATTCAAATGTGTGGCCATAGTATGTTTGTTAATACAGTGAGAATGTGTCTATAAATGTTACAAGCTGATGAAAAAATAATCAGACCACAGGAAATGTACCAACTGGAGTGGAGCTGACAGAATCTCCCCGTCCAGAATGACATAATTCCTGCCCTTGAGTCTTGTTCCAAAGTCAACAAATATGACATGTAATATAGGTATTCCTGGCTCTCGCTCACTCTGTTTATCCCTGTTTCTCTCTTTCCTCTTTTGCTCATGCTTCTGGAGAGAGGCACAAATTGTGGTATTTGTATCATATACTGCATGTGTGGTTCTTTAATAATATGAAATAAAATCCACTAAACAATATGTCCTGAAAGTGGGAGTTGTTGTTGAAGAATCTCGTGCATGGATACCTGATCCAGTGCTTCTTGGCGCTCATGAATGAATGAAAGAATTCATGAATGATCTGTTACTCACGTGTGGCTTCACATGCAGTAGGCACACCTTGCTCTCCGCTACAACCCTGCGCACTGAATCCAGACTCATACCATAGTAGTTCCCTTTATATTCACCGTATTCCAAAAATCTAGATGAAACATTTGAGAAAGCATGAAATATGGGGAATATAGTGATTTTTACCATTTAAATCCCTGACAACTTAAACCCTTTACAAGTCTGATTTTTAATAAGTTATGAACAATTCTGATAAATAACAAGATAATAAATCATTTGTAAATAAATTACAATTTGGAGCATTCACACATAAATCTCTAGGTGTTGTATTTAAGTTTGCTGTTAAACATCATTGGCATGATAAAATATTCATCCAGTTGCTGCTCCATGTACAGTTTATGTGCTGTTTGAATATATTGTATATGTGCGGTAAACACTTGGCTACCACTGAATATGTTTGTAGAGAAAAAGCAGCTTCATGGAATGTCCCAAACTGTCATATGGCTGACACACTGTGGTTAAGTTGTAAAGAAAATAATGCTATATAAAATGCTTTGGATCTTCTCACAGGAACATAGTCATTTAGAGTAAACTGTAACATTTCAGCAGATAATCCTAACAGATTGTTTGACCTAGTATGTTTTATGTATGTTACACAAATGACAGCCACGTGTTTGATCAAACATTTGAGGAATGGTCTCTAAAGAACAATCCAGCATGAAAATGCAATGCATTCCATAAGTGTGACATTTGCATATAAAATAAGACAGCAAATCAATTTGAGCTTTATTTATCAAAAGTCAAGTGCACCACTTATCCTAAATGGAGAGGAGAATTAATACTAAGTATGTGTTTTGTACATTTATTGTACATGCTGCTAACTGGTTAACTCCTGAATCTAGTGATAATACAAATTCCCCATTTTGCAGACTAGAGTGCTTGGTTGTAGAGGACATAACATACTACTACAATCTAGCATACTATCATTATAATACAATTTAATTTACCACCTGCTTTTCATGGGTGGTAATAGTGTAATCTTAATTGCAACAAGCACATACAGTAGTTTTGTGAATTATGTATAATGAAACTACTTCATTCCTGAAGATTCCTGGCATTGCTGGAACATCTTAAGATTGCTTGGAATCACTCAGAACACTTTAGCAACCACATAGCAACACCCTGGCAACCACTCTATCATCAAAACAACCATATCATAGACAATTATCACTACTGAAACACCTCAAGATTGCTTGGAATCTCTCAGAACTCCTTAGCGACTCCATAGCAACACCCTAACAACCACTATAGCAGCATAGCGACCATACCATAGAGACTTTGCATAACCAGAACAACTCAAGGTTTCTTCAAATCACTCAGAACACATTAGCAACTGCATAGCAACACCCTAGCAACCACTCTAGCCTCATAGCAACCACATCACAGAGACTTGGCATCACTGATTAATTCTACTTTATCTATATTTATCTTATTTTTTTTATTTAAAAAGACAAAAAAAACCCAAACACTAGCTTTCTATTATCTACTTCTTTGTCTTTGTGTATGTGTATAATATATATACAGTATATATATACACCTTGCTAAGTGTACTGCGTTAGGCTAACCGAGACTTGTCATTTGCACTTATATATTGTTGCTCTTTTGTTAGTTTTGACTGCTTTTTGTCCTCATTTGTAAGTTGCTTTGGATAAAAGCGTCTGCTAAATGACTAAATGTAAATGTAAATGGAACTAATTTACATAAAAGAAGGCATGTTTATGCTGAGTTTATTTAAATATGCATCTAATATAGAGTTAAGCCCCGTTCACACCAAGAACGATAACTATAAAGATAACGATATTAGCGTCCACACCAGCGAACGGTATCGTCTATTTATTCTAAGCGCACATACGTCTGCCGCTTTAAATTATTGAGCTCGTTACAGCAGGACGGATTCTGATTGGCTGTCAGTGTTTTATCGTTCATCAGCTGGAAAAAAATTGTTTTGAAAGCGATCACAATGATATCGTTCCTCTGTATCGTTATCGTTATAGTTGTGGTATGAACTATGCTATTCTTTAATATTGAGAACGATTTTTAGAACTATATCGTTATCGTTATCTTTATAGTTATCGTGCTTGGTGTGAAGGGGCCTTTAACCTGGGTTTTGGGCTATAGGGTTTTGTGCTAAAATACAACATGCAGAAGTAGAACTACTGCTTAGTGATTTCAAACTAGAATCCTTTTATAATTTTGAAATCATTTGCCTAGTTGATGTTGTTTTAGTGAAGTAGAGATAGGGTCCTACTGCTCAGTCCTGGTAGTAACTTATTTAGTCTTTGGCTTCAAGGCTTTTGTATGGTAATCAAAGATGATGGTAATTCGGTGGAGTGATGCAAAAAGCAGTCAGCTTTTCCTCTCTCTAGTGCGTCTCTCTGGAAAGTTGGGCTGTCTGCTCTCTGTCATTCCTGTCTCACTTGCTTTGACTTCTTTCCCTATGTCCAACTAACAAGACAAAAAGTCATTTCAAACCACAGAGGGCTCTTAAAATATCCCTCTAGTTTAATATAATGTGACACTGTTCACAGACACATGCTTTTGAGATTTCCTCTCGCTTTTGAGTGAAAATTGGAGAAAGAGAGTATTTCCTGTCAATGGATGTGATCTGCGTTTTCAGCATTAACAAGGATTAAATGTGTGATTTAAATTCCATGAGCATCTTTAAAGGAAGGAATAAAGTAGTCGGCTTCTTACAAATCCACTATTTAAAGTCATGATTTTGAATCATTTTTAGATAAAAAGAAGTTTATCATGAAGTTGTAGATTATTAAATGTGTTGTTTGATTTTAAAATATGCATTTTTTTATTTTAAATCTGTATTAACAAACTTTTATCCATGACTGTAAACTTCCATAATTGCTCCCTAAACAAAATAGGTTTAGCAATGTAAAGCAACACAACTCAAAACTAGCCTCTAGAATAAGCTACAACATGGGCTGGGTACCATTTAGGGGTGTTTAGCTTACTTGTGGTTGAGGATTTCTTTTTCAAAAGTGTGTTTGAAGACAAAGTGGTACTCTACCCCTTCTCTCTCATGCCTTTTCTGCTGCCGAGTGGTATCTGTTGAAATTAAAGAAAGAAAAAAATAATCCAAATCAAATTCTATTGAGGTTGACTTACAGATCCCAGAGACCCCGATATTCTAAAAAATAATAGTAATTGTGAAATTAATGTGATTTGTTTTTACAAAAACTTTTATTAGGTTCCTTTGACCTTAAAAGCTACTTGTCAGATATTATTATTGATTTATCTGTTTACCATAACATAAACAAATATAGTAACAATGTTTTTTTTTTCATGTGATCCCAGAAAAATAATTTAATTATAATTCTCTGAGACCCCAAATAGAAAATGATGATCTTACTAATACTACAGTTAACTCTGAATTTAAGAATAACAGTGCCTTTTAATAGCTTTTTAATTAGGGCAACTACAAAAGAGAATTTAATTGTTCTAATAAACTCTAATTAAAGTAAAATATTAATTAAATAAAAGGCTAGGCTACTATGAAGGGGACACTTGGGGTTGCTGTAGCCCCAGGGTCCTATGTATTCTTTTCAATGTACACTACAATCAATACAAGTGCACATTTGATACAAGTGGAAGCAGAACTGTCTCCGGTAACATGTGTCCAAAACTGAGCAAGGGTTAGGTAGTACGACCTTTATTTAACTAGACTGAGTCACATAGAAAGTATGCTCAGAGGTGAGCTTAACAAGGCCTGAGGAGCTCGCCACACACCCTAACTCTAATTGTCCACACGTTCTCTGCATATTCCAAAATAAACTATAAACTTTTACTGCCGGGGGGTGAGTGAATACACATTGTGTATGTGTGTGTGTGTGAGTGAGTGTGTCCTCTTCATCTAACCTTTCAAATCATACGAAAAACCTTCTGTTCATGGAGCATGCATGCATACTAAGTGATATGGCTATATTGCAAACACTGATCTAAACCCATCAACAAAACACTGTTACCAGTCATTAAACAGCAGATACAAGCCCATTTCAGTGTGTGTTAGCTTTGAAGTGCAAGCTTTATATGGACATTTAAAGGCAAGCAGGAGTCTGTTACAAACACTTTATTCCACTGAACTGGAAACAGTGTGATCACAGCTGTTTATTAGTTGTGGTTGTCATTAGTTGTGGCGCTCATAAGGCTACATGCTGATGCTAAATCACGGCCACCATCTTACTGATCGATTTTAACTCACTACTTAAATGTCATAAATCAAATAACTGTATATGTCAGACAGATTTAGACCCTAACCCTGTTTCGCTACAGTTCGGAAGCTTGGAACACAGTCAGAAATATGGAAAGCTGTTAGTTTGAGCTTCCAAAGGGGAGAAACAGGCAAGACAAACGCCAACCTAAAGCAGAAACATGACCTTTTTCCAGAATAAAGAGAAAAAGTCACACCGCTCACTCCATCACTGCATCGTCTGTCTAGCTGTTAGTGGCTGTAATTATCCTGTTCTTTCATCGCTCTATCGCCCCCTGTCCACATCACTCATGGACACTCAGAGTGGCAGTGAAAAGCTGGTTCTGTTCTCTTCTCCACTCTGGCAGTCCAACACAGCTTTAGGCCTCAATGTGGAAAGATTTGATGGTCTGCCTACAGATTATTCATGAACATTTACAAGAGTGTGGAGTCAAGGCAATAGTTTTACTTTTAAGAAATATGGTTGTTCTTGATTCTTGTTAGTCAGTTTGCTTGCTTGGAACAGAGTTAGAAAGTTACTACCTAAAACTGTTGTTAGTACCATTCAATGGTTCATATGTATGCTGTTAGGAAGTCAAATTAATTTTTATGTAAATAAATGATTCACCCATCAAATAAACAATTGACAAATTCAGGATTATCTGTACCTGAAAGTTTTTTATTACATAAATTAAGATGTTTTCTAATTGTACTGCTTTTTAGTGGTTCATTGGATTTTAGTGTACATTTATTTGTTTTATTTATTTATTTTTAATACAATAAATTATGTATCATCTAGATTGTATATTATCTGATATATAAAATACATTAAAGACATTATAAAAAAAGACATTCTCTCTTAAATAGCTTCAAAGTAGTTCAGTTAAGTAGCTTGTAGGGATGGGCATGAATACACGAGTACTCAAGAGTGACAGTGATGATAACAACCAAGATTGTCACATGACTTTGAGAAATATATTGTTTCCTGTTTTATGATTGGCTGTGGTGACATTTTACTCTTTACTCAGCTTCAGATCACTCATCTCAAACAGCAATGCCCAACATTATTGACTATGACTGGACTTTTTTTTAAATGTTTTAAAAATGGATGTATTATTGCTAATAATAAGTTTTAATAAGCTACAGTATCAAGTATTCAAAAGAAACAAAAATGCCCATCTCCCCATTAGCTTGTAGTCTATCTAGCTACTTTATTTAGTGGACATCTTTGTAATACCAACAGAGCAGACAGCTATGTAGACATCTGACATTGACATCTCCAAAACTAATATATTTCCAATCAGCAATAAAATCAAGACAAGAATGTCATCATAAATGTGCTTCTTTAGAACAAATTTAACTAAAAACAGCAATTTTCAAGCTTGTCCAGCTAATGCACATGCATGTTTAAAGGGGAAATCAGATTACATTTTCACTTTTTTACCTTTTGTTTTGCATTCAGTTAGGTTTCTGGCATGTCTGCCAGCTCAGAAAAGCTGAAAAGAAAACACGCAGCCAGTTCGTTATGGTTGCATGATTCTAAAATGTGTCATCCAGTGAGCTGTTTCAATTTGCAGCCGGTTTCTACATAGACAGCTATATTTGAATAAGACCACTTCAGAGCCAAATACGGAGTCTAAAAGGAAGCAATTCAGGTGTGAGCAGTAGCTCATTATCATTTAAAGAGACATGTACCAAAACGGGTCTCTGTGAACAGAGCTGTTTTTGACCAGGTAAAAAGGGTGTTGTTTTACACAACCACTGGGGAATTTTAACCAAAGTATATTACAGACATTTCATGAAAACCCTAAACAGTGGCTATCCAATGTCCCCAAACAGGTGATGCTTGTCTGATCAAAAAGCAGACAGGTTTTCTTAGACCTTATATAGCTCCACCCATTTGAATTTTCCGATTTGTATTTCCACAGCATGAAGGTCAAATCTTATAGATTTATAAATGAACTGCTCATTTTAAAATCTTCCCGATCCTCCAAAAACCACCCACACACACACACACACACACACACACACACACACACACACACACACACACACACCAGCAGTTTATCACTCATTAATCAACACTGACAAAGCAATAAAGCAGAAGTCAACATTCGCTGAATAATTCATTCAATATAAATACAAGCTTATCTAAATCACCAGTACCAATATACATTTTCATCACACTTCAGTCACACTCATGATCCCTGTCCAAACATTTTCTCTTTATCTTGCGCCCAATATAAAAGACTGTAGACTTGGCTGGTTAGCTGGTACATGAACAGATTCAGTCCTTGTTTGTAGGCGGACATGTACTGTATTTAAAGTCTTCATGGACTGTCTAGGCCATGAAGTGGCCCATTATTCCGGCAGGCATCTGCTGTTTCCATCACTGGGATTTAAGTATAAGGATGATGGGGTAATGAAGCAATTCAGGTGTGAGCAGTAGCTCATTATCATTTAAAGAGACATGTACCAAAACGGGTCTCTGTGAACAGAGCTGTTTTTGACCAGGTAAAAAGGGTGTTGTTTTACACAACCACTGGGGAATTTTAACCAAAGTATATTACAGACATTTCATGAAAACCCTAAACAGTGGCTATCCAATGTCCCCAAACAGGTGATGCTTGTCTGATCAAAAAGCAGACAGGTTTTCTTAGACCTTATATAGCTCCACCCATTTGAATTTTCCGATTTGTATTTCCACAGCATGAAGGTCAAATCTTATAGATTTATAAATGAACTGCTCATTTTAAAATCTTCCCGATCTATTGACAATTGTTTTGACATCCGCTTCAAACATTACAATGCTCATGCTAACTTTCGTTAACTCTACAATAACTAAATCTACTTCACCAGCTAATTTCTCTTCAACAGCGATGTCATAGACATATACAGAGCTGCTACTAAAAAGAAAGTTCAAAGGCAAAATTCTAAAGATGGCTGCATACTTGTTTCTCTGGCGGATAAGGTCTATAGCCATTATTTTGTTTTTATTCCCACCATATTATTCCCATTAATTTAGCTATGAATGGTCTGTCTGATCCCTCTCATGATGTCCCTATTGTAATTTAGTTTGGATGGAAACAGTTTCGAGGTAACAAGACGTGAACTGAACTTTAAGCAACTCTAAACAGGTGTACTATTAGGATGATGTATTGCACAAATGTTATATGAACTCACATGGCACAGATACACTGAAGTGTTCTGGGTCAGAGAGTAGAAGTCTTCTCTTTAACTCGGTCACACCAACCCCACTAGGCCCTGTACAAAAGGCCCATTATTCCGGCAGGCATCTGCTGTTTCCATCACTGGGATTTAAGTATAAGGATGATGGGGTAATGCTGTATTGATTTCAGGTTGTGGCCCCCGCCACTCGCACCCTTTCCAAAACACAGATCCAGTCTCTGCTCTGGCCCAAGCACCCCCAGAAAGAAAAAGCCATACTGCTGTAGTGAAAATGAAGAATCTGTCTGGTGCCCATTCATGAGAGACTAAAAGCCTGTGTCTGCCAGTCACAAACAGATGGTACGGTCGCTGCGGGTGCATCTCTCAAAATCAAAGTAAGTATGTTATCACTACACTGGCTGCAACTGGCCTCCTTGATGTGGAATGTGATTCTGGAGTGAAATTCCTGCCATTCTGATAATGCATGAAATGTTTTTGGCCATCTCAGTTCACGTTTGGCACAGGATTGCTTTTCACAGCAAATGAGTTTTACAGAGTGAGAGGAAAGAACAAAATCGCATTAAGGTTGAATATGAAAATATTAAATCATCTTGTTTGACCTCACGTCGGCTTTCTGCCTGCCCTCACTGTCATCATCCACCAGTGCTCATCTTGCAAACAAACCAGTGGGTTGATGGTCTTCGAAATATTTGCAAGCTGTGTCTGTGGTCAGTTGAAGAAACACATTAAGGAAGATACAGTATGTTTTCATTCCGGGATGCCTTTTAAGTTATAGTTCTATATGGCATACATAGGCAAGCAGCGATCATAGAGTTAGTCAAATTAGACGTTAATGTTCTACACCCATGGCCAACAAAAACTCATGAGAATGACACACATTAGAAGTGAAACTAGTAATTTGTACAACAACCTGCTCATTAGGGATGAGCAGACTGCTTTGGTGGGCTTAAACTTTTGTGGACATTTTGTTTGTCTCGTATGCAAAAGAACAAACGACATGTTAATGTGTTCATGAAAAAGAACAGGAAAATTCTTACAAGAATATATATAAATATCCCTCTTTGTTGCTTTTTTTGTAGTTTTGAATAAAAAAGTTTCTGTTTTCTTTTTTGGGGGGAGTCCCATTACATGACATTTTACAGCTTAAACTAACCTTGCTAAAAAAGGTAAAATTATCTGATATGTTAAGAGACTACTCACCCTGACACAATGTCTGTCAGGCTTGTGTTGTGTCTCACTAACACAGATTTAGACAGATTTGTGAACAATATTTGAGAGAAATAGGCCTTTTGTGTGCATAGAAAAAGTCTTAGATCTTTGAGTTCAGCTCATGACAAATGGGGGCAAAAACAAAAGTGTTGCGTTTATAATTTTGTTCAGTGTATTTGTTTTCTTTTTATTTATTATACAATTAACAAAAGCAAAAAAAGGTCTCTAACACTAGCTTGCTCTATTCTTTTTCTATTCTATCTGCTTTCTTTTTATTTATTATATAATAAAAAAAAACCTTGCTACATATACTGCATTAAGCTAACTGAGACTTGTTATAGCACTTGTATATCATTGCTCTTTTGTTGATTTTGAATGCTTCCATTGTCCTCATTTCTAAGTCGCTTTGGATAAAAGTGTCTGCTACATGACTAAATGTAAATGTAATGTAAATGTAAACTAATCATGACAAGTCTGTTTCACAGCAGCTAAATTCAGACATTGTGGACAAAATAGGGGGGAAAAAACAGCACAGTCTAGTGCCACATTTTTGTTAATTTTTCTCATATATCAATGGTAGACAACCCAGTTTCTGACCTTGCTGAGATGATTTAACGTTTTTTTTTTAAATAAATCCACCCAGTCCTTTGGCTCTTTGGCCATACTTGTCAAGGCTCACTTGAAGTCCTTCAGTACTGGGAGAGACCTCACTGTGCTCCTGTACATTTTTTGTTGTTTGTTTGGGAAAGAAGTCTTGCATTCACCTACACCTTGCCAACAGCTGTTCTCACCCCTGATATACCTGAGAATTAATGCTCTAAATTTACCACAGGGACATATTTTTGATTCAGCAGTGGATAAAAAAAGTGAAAAAGTTGAAATGATCTCACATGGCTCATCAAATTTCTAAGTAGAATATCATGCATTCGTAATTATGCAAACACTAAAGCAATGATGACGTTTTAGGCAGACAGTTACTACTTTTATAACAATAGAAATTCTATCCGCCAAGATGCCATTCAATTTTGAATATTTATAGCTATACCCTCAGCAACACAAAAGCTGAACTTCCATTTCATTAAACCTCTGAACAGATAGCTCTGGATTTCATGCTTAATGGAATGTCAATTTTTGATTATGGTCATTTTCTAAACTCTTGCTATGATGGACTGTGGCAACAGGGAATGTAAATGACATAAAAAATAGCAAGTGGCTCCAGCTGTATGGAGGGCTGTCTGGCATATTCAAGCAGTAGTCTCATGTTTAGATAATAAGCACGTATTCTTTTGGCTCCTTTGGAGTCTGACTTTAGAAATGACATTGAGGTGAACATTTTGCAGGCCCAGATCTACGTACAAGCAGTTCAATGAAAACAGATACATAGTCTGCAGATCCATGTGTTAATTTAACTTTCTAGACTCTTACATTCTCTACAGTATCTATATTATTTTACCTATACCAATAAATAACCACCCTCATCATTCCAAACTTGCATGCATTTTTTTCCCTTTGCCAAACACACACACACACACACACACACACACACACACACACGCGCGCACAAAAAGAGAATATATGAAGACTTTTCCATGCTCTTTTCCATGCAGTTACAATGAACAGCAACTGAAGCTGTCAAGCTTCAAAAAAGATACAAAAGAATCCCCCCACCCTCAAAAAAAAAAAATTATTATAAAAGTGGAACATGCTTTATTCAAAGTCAGGGCCCAATGGTTAACAGCTCACTGCTAGGGAAGCTTACCAGTGATGAAAAATGCAAAATTTGGTCTGTAATAGACCTGGAATATAGCACATGCGTTCAGACTTTTTTCCCAGCAATTCAAAAAAATTTTCTTGCAATTCAGAATTGCATGATATAAAATCACAATTGCTAGTAACAAAGTCAGAATTGCCAGATATAAACTTGCAATTCTGACAAATAAGGTCAGAAATGCCAGATATAATCTCAGATTTGTGACTCTATATCTTGCAATTTTGACTTTACAACATGCAATTGCTTGTACTTTTATCAGAATTTTGAGATATAAACTCACAATTGTAAAAAAGTAGGCATTTTTTCCCTCTCAGAATCGGACTTTATAACTCCCAATTGCGAGTTTTTATCTCAAAATTCTGAGAAAAAAAGTCAGAATTGCAAGAAAAAAAGTCAGAATTGTGAGATATAAACTTGAAATTATGAGAAAAAAGTCAGAATTGCGAGCTTATATACTGCAATTCTGACTTTAACAACTGTGAGTTTGTTATATATATAATATAAAATATATTAATATAAATATATAAATGTATATACATGTAATTATTTCAAAATATATACTGTAAGTGTGTGTATTTATTTATACATAATAAATAAACAGTACACATACATACAGAAAAAAAGTCAGAATTGCAAGAAAAAAAGTCAGAATTGTGAGATATAAACTTGAAATTATGAGAAAAAAGTCAGAATTGCGAGCTTATATACTGCAATTCTGACTTTAACAACTGTGAGTTTGTATTTTGCAGTCCTGACTTTATAACTCGTAATTGCAAGTTTATTTCTCACAATTTTGAGAAAGTCAGAATTAAAAGTTGCAATGATTTATTTATTTATGTTTTTTCAGCGGTGGAAATAGGCTTCCATAGCATTTGAACTATTGTGACCTTTTCAACCCTAAAAGCTGAATAATAACTAGTGCTGTCAAATGATTAATCGCTTTTGTTTACACAAACTTTTATTTTGGATGTGATTAATCACGATTAATCGTTTGACAGTACTAACAATGACAGAATTCTTAGATGCAAACAAGAAGTTCTTAGATGAGTTATTTTTTTAAAGCAAGAATCATTCTCACCAGTTAGGAGCACAAGGCGGTAAGGCTCATCAGGCTTTCTCTTGTAAGGCAGGACCTCCTGATATATTGGTAAATGGATACCGGCATGTCCTTTGCCCATCTTCTGTCTCACATGCTGACCTGTGCTGTCCTTCCGGCTCAACCGGAAACTTTTCCTCAAACCAGCTGTGGGAAAGGAGAAAACTAAATCAATTAACTTGACATCACATGTAGTTAGTTTTAGAAGAATACTTGGACTCTTTTTTATCATTTTTTTTATTGATTTAAATTTACATAGGTATGTCATAATAAGTCATGCTTGATTTGATTCTTTTTTTTCCCTTACATTGAGTAATGTGTTTAGAAATTACAGCATAATTTGCTCAGAGTTCCTACCAAGTAAAGATGCCAAAAATATTTGGGCAGTTGTACTTACATCTGTTTCTTATTAGACAAGTGTGTTTGTCTGGATCATTAGTGTATGTTTTAGATAGCTGTCAATGTCTAGTTTTGCTTTGGAATTGGTTCTTGGAACCTGAAATCAGACATGAGGACCAAAGAAGGGTCAACAAAACTGAGAAATCAGTAGACTTGAATCCAAGAGGTAGTCAAAACTATAGTTCTGGCAAGACCTGTTGTTTGGTAAATCTGCAATGCAAGCATTGGTGAGCTTAACAGTGACCAAAGAGAATCAGCAATGTGGCTGTCAGAAGAAAAGTTTAACCATGAAGAAACCCCCATCAAGCAACTGAATAGCAGTATTCACCAGGGTGCAAGAGATTTCTTAAAGACTATCCGTGTGAATGTGATGGAAGTTTAAGTAGCACATTACAGTGCTTGGACGGTGGTTCCCAATCCTGTTCCTGGAAGCCCCCCAACTGTACACATTTTGGATATCTTGCTTATCTGACACACCCTTTTGAAGTTTTGGAGTTTCTGCAAACAAGATGATAAGTTATATCAGGTGTGTGTGTGTTTGATTAGGGAGACATCCAAAACGTGTAAGGTTGGGAAACACTGCTTTGGGAGATCAAGCAGAACTGATTATTGCAGACCATGATTAAGTGCAGGACAGGATGGACACAATGACTCGCACAAACCTTACTTGGAGAGTCTAACTTACAAGAACTTTTGCTTCACAGGAGCAATAAAGTAGAGGTGGAGTATTCCTCATCTTTGTTCTCAAAAAAACCCAGAATATGCTGTTTAGGTGTGTTGATGCATGTCAGCTGGTTTGAGCTGGTTTAAGCTGGTCCTTAGTTGGTCATGAGCTGATCCTGAGCAGGAGCTAGTTGCTTAGGACCAGCACATGACCAGCTTAAACCAGCTTATGACCAGGGCTGCGTTTCCCAAAAGCATCGTAAGCTTAAGTTGATTGTAGAACCATTGTCACCAATGGAGCTACGATCAACTTGGGCTTACGATGCTTTTGGGAAACGCAGCCCAGATAAGGACCAACTAAGGACCAGCTTAAACTAGCTACCATGCTTCAAAACATACTTAACTAGCATATGTTGTTTTTTTCAAAAGGGAATTCTTTCTGAACTGCTGATAGGTTATTATGACCAACAGAGTGATTGGAGCATTGAAGTCATTTAAAAACAAATAAGGGTTTGAAAACTCTTAGAAGAGCCGAGTCCTCTTTACTGATGACAGTTTGGGTCTTGCTCAGATTTATTTCCATGCAATCAAGATATAAGAAAACTTAAAAAAGACATTGTGGAAATGTATAGCACATTGTTTCAAACTTGGACAAAGTTACCTTCCTCTAATAGCTTTGTGCACAAAGTATTTTGAAAAGATATACATGTCATTAAGGTACCCTGTCAAGCATAATACATCAAATACATAATTTATGAAATTCTGGAAGCCTGTAGTGTCCTAAAAGACTGGGAGACTGACCAAATCGAGCTGCATTACCTGCCCTGTAGGCATTATGAAGATGCTCTTCTACTCTTTCCCCTTCTGGGTGGGGAGAAGGGTGTAGACCAGGGGTGCCCAAACTCGGTCCTGGAGGGCCGGGGTCCTGCAGAGTTTAGCTCCAACTTGCCTCAACACACCTGCCTTTAAGTTTCTAGTATGCCTAGTGAGAGCTTGATTATCTGGTTCAGGTGTGTTTAATTGGGGTTGGAGCTAAACTCTTCTGGACACCGGCCCTCCAGGACCGAGTTTGGACACCCCTGGTGTAGAACCTGCATAGACCAAACTTTTTGAAGATGGTGGTACTTTTTGGTAACTCAAAAGCAGTGGCCATCAACTTAAGACAATATTAATTGTTTGATTTTTTTAAACCAACATCAGTTAATGCTTGGGTATATTCTTCATCCCAACAAGAAAAGCCTGCAAGTGCTATAGATGTGGAGGGGTGGATAAAATCAAAACCAGCATCAAGGTCCTCTACTCTCAATGTGCCTCTCTTTCTCAGAACAGGGTCATAAATAGCCTGTTCCTGATCAGTTGCATGGCCAAAAGATCAATGAGGGGGAGGATTAATGCTATACTGTATATGTAATATGACACCATGAACCTCAAATGTCTGAGGAGACATTTGAAGTCCAATAAATTGCATCCATTCATCATGAAAAGTACTCCACATGGCTCTGGGGGGCAGGGGGTTGGTGGGTTGATAAAGGCCATTTGAAGTGAATCGATGCATTTGTGTAAGAAAAATATCCATATTTTATATTTTATAAACCTTAATCTCTAGCTACCGCTAGCTAGCGGTACACGCGTTCATGAGAAAGTGGCATCCAGCGGATGACGTAAGATGTCAGCTAGAGATTATGGCTTATAAAGTTCTAAATATGGATATTTTTCTTAAACAAAAGCATTGATTCACTTCAGAAGGCCTTTATTAAGCCCCCAAAGACATTTTTTATGATGGATGGATGCACTTTATTGGACTTCAAAATCTCAACACCCATTCACTGCCATTATAAAGCTGGGAAGAGCCAGGACATTTTTTAATATAACTCCAATTCTATTTATCTGAAAGAAGAAAGTCATATACACCTACAGTAGGATGGCTTGAAGGTGAGTAAATCATGGGGCAATTTTCAGTTTTGTGTGAACTATCCCTTTAATATCAGAGGAAATATGTTTCTTCTCTATCAATACAATAGTAAAATAAAGAACCCAGCTACCACTATATAAACATAACTTTTAGCAGGCATACAGCATATGGAATCCCAAAGGGCCATATCTAAACTATCCAACTCAGCAGCACAAACTAAACATACAGGCATCAGAAATGTTATTTCCAACATATAAATCAAATGTGGTATTGTGCAATAAACAAAAGTTCAGTGTTTGAAGGATTTTTGGTGAAAAAGATACATACATCAAACTGTTTTCAAGTAATTTTCAACACAATTTGACACAATTTATAAACAGATTTGTAAAAATGTTGGGTAATCACTGTCAAAAACGTCTGCTGCCATGCCGAGAAACAAAAACTGGAGGTCATATTATAATTGTCCAATTCATTTGGTAGCTACCAATGATAACAGTATCATAAACACATTACAGGGCACTGAGTAGCTTTTGATGTTCATCTACACCTCTGGGAATTATGTAGCGGAGGGCCTGAACATAGGAACATAACGGTTTTGGTGAGCAGATGTACAGCATATCTCACATTGTCTGCTGCAGTATCCTCTGTACAAATACTTGTTTCATTGGTCCCACCAATATTAATCTTTTTGAATCCTTTAAATGCTTCCAGACGTTTAATGTCCTACATAGACAGCAAAATCGGGGCCTGAAGGCCAAACAGCTTCTAGATATATAAATCAAAAAGAAGCTAGGAAGATTTGACTGAGATAATCAAACCAAGGCCTGAAGATGAATTTTATCTGGCCCACTGGACTCCCAATAGATAGGGATCTCTAGACAGTAGTTTTTCTTTCTTAGATTCTTCAACCTTTTTTTTTTTTTTTTTTTTTTTTTTTTTTTTTTTACATTTATGCAGTTCAGGATATCTAAGTAGACTTAAGTAATTATACTCTACACTGTAAAAATGTTTTATTATGTAACCCAAAACTTGCTTCATGTGGTAACTAACAAAATGAATAAACAAATGTACAAATCAAGAATTCAAAAAATACTTAAGATCTGGATGACTAAATCAACCTTATTACACTGATGGAATACAGGAATACAATTGAAAGCAGTTTCCCTCAGTTTTCTGTTACTGAAAGATACAATAAGGGGGAAAAAATACAGGACAGGAAAAAAAAGAACAATTTATGAAAATAAGCTATTATGAGGTTATAGGAAAGATGTTTTTATGAACACAACAATGCCACTATAGATATACCAAAGAGAATCTTTTAGTCTGTGACACTATAATTCCATCAGCCTTCACGCTCATCTCTGTTCACAGATGACCTTGGTTACAACTAATGAACATTACTGCTTGTTTCCATCCTGTTCAAGGAAAGCTGAGCGGCTGGCAGTAAATAACCTGGATCAGTCCCAAAAAAAAAAAAAAAAAAAAAAACGGATACAAAAACAAGATAACCACTTAGACAAATCAGCACTAATAAAATCATCTCAGATAGTTAAGCGTATCATCAAATCAAAATGTTTTGGGCCTTTTTGTCCATGTGTATTAGCTTTGAAGTCAAATAGTATTTTACTGCAAATTGGTGTCTGGGGCTGAGATAGATAGATAGATAGATAGATAGATAGATAGAGGTATAGATATAACACATGCTCCCACCTTTAAGTAGGAGAACGCATAATAGTCTAATTTGTTCTGCCAGTTACATAACAAACCAAAAATATATTTCTATCATGACAACTCTCGAAAGATTTTAGCATGGTAATGGATATAACAATGTTAATGTATTTGGTCTTTGCAGAATAAATCTGATACTCTGCTGCTGCTGCTGTTGGTTATTGCTGTTGCTGCAAGCAAGTACGGAAACTGGCTACTGCCAATGCATACGGTGATAGGGTGATGTATTTAAGACATGCTGCTGCCAGGAAAAACTGTTGCTTTAATTATCTAAAACAAAACTGAAAATCACAAATAAGACCTTTCTCTCAAGATATATGCATTAATTTTAGCGATTCTAATTTGCTACTTAAATCTACACAATTTTGAAAACATCAAATATTAGACCAGGTAAGCACAGAATCAACTTTGCACTGCTGCGCGCGATCGCGTCAAAGATCAGACA